GTAGCCACGAACTACTAATGGCTCCGTGGTGGGGGACAGTACTTCCCAAGCTCCTCCCCAATTCGTGATGGAACATTGACAGGCCCAATCTTGAACAGCTCGTGTGCAAGTAGCCACAGATGCTATGCGTTCACAGAGCAACAGCCCAGACCTGACCCGGAGACAGCATTTTACATCACCCTTCCCATCAGACTTGGACAGTTAATGTAATGAGAAGAAAATTTCTTCTACATACGAGGACAACTCCTGAGAATAAGTATGCAATAGTATGTCGGCTTTAGAAAAGTGTGTCACAACGTCTTTTGGAGCAGGGGCACTGGCACACACCTGTAATCCCAGCATTTGGGGAGGCAGAGGCAGGCAGATCTCTGTGAGTTCGAGGCCAGCCTGGTCTACAAAGTGAGTCCAGGACAGCCAAGGCTACACAGAGAAACCCTGTCTCGAAAAACTAAAAACCCCAAACCCAAAACAAACTTTTTTTGCGGTTCTAAAATGGCTCAGAACCCATTAATTGCTAAGAAACTTTTATTGTCAGTGACGCACTCATGGAAGAGTTTTAAGAATACAGAATTGAAGACTCTGTATTGATGAGTTGGGGCTCATCTCAGGCAAATGTCCATGAGATTGTTTCTGACCAGCTGACACTCACAAGTCCTAAGCCAAACATGAAACTTTGGTGTGATAGATTAGCATCTTGAACTTCAGTGCAAACAGAATGCTTAGAGTTCTGTCAATAAACATGTGAGTGTCCAAGCCTGTGCTGGGCAGATCTGCTGAGGGTGGAGAATACAGCCACAAAGGAGATAAATAAAACCTCATCTCATGGGAGGCAGATAATGCACATTATCTACAAGGAAAGCAGACAAGGTAGTGGGTCATTGGTAATGAACACAAAGAGTAGGTGCAGAGGAAAAACAAAGAGTCCGGCTCAAGGTCAAGGTGGCAGGGCAGCGTAGGTTTAAACGGGGTGCTCAGGACACGGATCCTTTGGAAAAGGAAATGTGGAGCTGAGATCTGCTGGAGGCAAGAGAGTGAGCTGGACTGTGTTCTGGGCCTGGGACCAGGAAGCAGTTTGTTTTTAGTGGGCTGAATTGTGAAGACTGGTGAGTACTTTTGTACAGACAGTACGGTCTCTGAACTCCTTGTCACTTGCAATTAACCATGAGTACACCCAGTTAGCTCAGAAAAAGGTCCAGTGTCTCTCCCACCCTGGCAGCTAGAAGCCCTCATGTGCCAATGCCTCTATCCTGGAAGCCACTGCTGGAGCAGAGAAGGGACCCCGCCCCTTCTCCCGGACATCTGCAGGAGCCAGCAGAGCAGTAACCCTTGCTGTCCCCTTTCCTCTCCACTAAGCCTGAGGCGGCTCCATCACCTTCCTTGTTTTTTACACACAGTGGGTGAGTCTGTATTTTCCACTAAGTCCTCAGACATTTAGAAGCAGAGCAACCCATCTGAGACCTTTTTAGAACCAGGAAGACGTGGTCAACAAGATGGCTCAGCAGGTAATAACAGTGCTTCCTGCCAAGCCTGGTTCAATACCCAGCCCAACTGTGGAAGGAGAACACTAACGCCTGCAAGCTGACCTCTGACCTCAACATGTGTGTGGTGGCATAAGACACTATCCCATCCCCTCCACACACATGTAAGTGAATTTTTTAAAGTATTAAAGCAAAGATCACTAAGTATGTGATCTTTATCCAGATTTACACAAATGTTTGACATTTTTGTTTTCTTTGATGCACATGAGTGTTTTGTCTGCATGTGTGTATGTGCACCACATGTGTGCCTGGAGCCCACCGAAGGCCTTGGATCCCCTGGGACTGGAGTTACAGATAGTTGTGAGCTACCATGCAGGTGTTGTACACAAATCTGGGTCCTCTGTAAGAGCATTAAGTGCTCTTACCTGCTGAGCCTTCTCTCAAGCCTCAGTTTGCCCAAATTTTGCTGTTATTGAGTCCTTGGAGTTTTCAGGGAGGGAAGGTGTGGGATGAAAATGTATATCTAGTTACTCTTTAAGTCTAGCTACCCTTTAAGTGCCATTTTCAAAAACGGCAGTGGCGTTTGTAACCGGTCTATTCCTGTTCTAGTGGGCGACCTGACTCTCCATTCTACCTGTCAGATGCAGATGCTGACTTAACTGGAGGATGGCAAGGAGGGTCCAGCAAATCTCAGCAGGTCAGAACAATCTCAGTTTGTCTTACTGCTGTGCCCAGTGCTGAATTCAGTCAGTGCATGGCACAAAAAGCACCCAATAAGTGATGATGAATGAATGAATGAATGGATGGATGGATGGATGGATGGATGGATGGATAGATGGATGAATGAGAGAGTGAAGGAATGAATGAATGAATGAAAGGATGGATGAATGAGAGAGTGAAGGAATGAATAGATGGATGGATGGATGGATGAGTCAATGAAAGATGACAGCTTTCAAATGTGTTCTTGCCACAGCGGGAAGGTACAGGAGAGGTGAGCTGGGGGTGTGGTCCTACTAACCTCAGAAACCAGAAGAACCGAGTGGGGTATGCATTTTAACGGTTCAAAGGTAAGGCAAGGGTGAAGACAGTCATTAAGAGAAAAACAAATTCTAGTCCAGCATGTGGAGCTTTGAGGTGTCGGCCTGCTTTGACTTAATCCCTTGAAGGTTCAGTTTTACCATGTGAGACATGGGAATACCAACCTTGACCTCAGAAAGTTGCCACAAGAATTAAGTAGAATTAGACAACATCAGGCACCCTGTATACAACACTGCTGTCATTAAAAAGTAACCAAAAACAAACAAACACAAACGAAAAAACCTCACAGTGTGGGGCCTCCTTTGTGCCCTGAACAAGTACACGCCAATTGCTGCACCACGGTTATGGAAACCTGGAGCCAGGACTGGATTTGAATCCCAGCTTTGGCACATAGAGCTGGATGGCTTTAGGGAAGCTACCGACTTTCTCTGAACCTCCGGATGCCTTTCCCATATAAAGCGAGCAACAGTGCTCATTTCATCACGCTGCTCTGAGGATTAAGTCAGTTCCTGCACGGAACCCCCAACGTGTCTGACTCCCGAGCACCAAGGCCTGTTAGCCGTAGCTATCATCATGGCCATTCCATGTTTTCACCCAGTGTGCTCTGTGGGGCTGGTGGAGACAGTGAGCACATAGATAGCAGTGGATGGACGTGTCCCTGTTATGAGGGTAGGGGAGGCAGGGGCTCCTCAGTGTCTCAATCCACAGGGCCTCGGGTTCACCAGCTTGTTAAAACAGAGGGTAGATCCTGCTCTGAAGTCTGACGCATCTGGCCTCGGTGGGCTGAGAGTTTGCAGCCACAAATTCCCACGTGTAGATAATGCTGTGAGTAACACCACCATAGCCAGGTAACCAAGAAAGAACGTCAGAGCTCCGAGAGAAGAATGAGAAATGATCGGGAAGAGATAACGAAACTCAAAAGGGTCCCAAGCCAAGGTAAGACATGCTAAGATGAGAGAACACAGTCAGCACAGAGCCCGGCAGACATGGAGCACTTGGTGACCTTCGCTGTTGGTGGTGTTGTTATTATTGGGTCATGCTTTGGTACGTCTGCCAAGAGCCCCTTTCCATAAAAGGTCATCTAAACGGGCGTAAAGCCAACAATTTCACTAGAGGCCTTGACCCCTATGTTTAGAAAAGAACGTTTCAGATGAGCATGATGGTGCCTACTGTAATTCCAACACTCAGAGTGCTGGAGCAAGAGGATTTCCATGACTTTGATACCAACCGGATGAGGACCAGGGCATCCAGCATCAAAGAGCAAGACTGTGCTCTTCCGAGAGAGAGAGAGAGAGAGAGAGAGAGAGAGAGAGAGAGAGAGAGAGACAGCAAGATTAGTCACAGGGACGCTTGTTACCAAGAGAGCTGAAAGTTGTCCTCTGACCTCCACATGCGTGTCATGGCACACACATGGATTCATCCACACACAAAAGAATAGATGTTTCTAAAACTTAAGAATTTTAAGTCACAAGATTCAACCTGCGGTTACAAACTGATCCCAAGTGACTGGAAGACACACTGATGAACAAGATATTTGGGGTGGGGTCTTCCGAGGAGCGAGGAGCTCACACATTACACCAGAGAACCCAGCAGCCGGCTCTGAGGGTAAGCATTCTACTGTTTTTTTTTTTTTTGTTTTTTTTGTTTGTTGTTGCTTTTTTCCATTTCCTCTTCGGAGTTTGCAAATTCCAGATAGAAATGAATTCCAGAACAATGGGAAATGGATACCAGAAATGGTCAGAGTAGGGTCACCCCAGTGCTTCTGGGATGCGTTCTAACATCTTGCTAGAGAGGGGTCGACACTCCTGCCACTTCCCTTGGGAGAATATTCCACAGTGAAATATGACTTATTGCAAGGCCTCGCCTCTGAGCTTCCCTTCTCCTGACCCACTTTCCTCTTGCTGCGGCCTTTTGCACAGTCACGCGCACCGTGGATCCTCTCTTCCAGGACCGCCACCTCCTAACCTCGTCTGCTCATTTAGCCAAGCAGCGCGGGTGTAATCCTTGTAATCTTTCCTCGTAAAGTCAGTCTCCACATCACCTTATCTCCCGAGCTTTGAACTCCCTCCAGCCTGGCTGTCCTGAGCTCTTGCTCCAGTCAATCACAAGATGCCTACCGCAGGGGAAACAGCCAGCCTGAGCCAGTTTCCGAGCACTCTCCCCCGTGGTGCACTGCCTGCTGCCAAGGTACAGAGAGCCCAGAGCCCAGCAGTTGGGTCTGCCAAAGTGAAACAGACCCTGCCGGGTGACCGAGCCTCCTCAGGCAGGCCCAGCAGCCTTTGCCACCAACTGCGGGGTCCTTCTAACGGCGCTGGCCCGCTTGGCCTGCCATCAAGGAAACACGTGAAAAGCCGCACAAGATGCCTTAATCTCTCCTTTCACATAGACTACTCAACATAGCCCAGGCTCATTTGGTCTCTACCTGCCTGGCGGGGGCAGGGGGGAAGGACACTGGAACAGCCTACATAGTGAGCAACATCTTACCTGGAAGGTGCCGGCGTGATCTTCTTCCTTATCGCCCTCTCGGTTCTCTTTGAGGGCAATTAATGTGAAGCCTCTGAAGTAGGAGGGAGGAGCAGCTGAAAGTGTCACTGTGAGAGACAATAAAGCCACTGTCAGCACGGCAATCGACTGTGTTTCATTTGACATACAGGACCAGGCCTGTGTGCTCTGTCAACATTCCATCCCTGTGGCGTGTGGGGCAGAGAATGACGGGAAAGGTTCACCCTCTCCCCTCAGCTCCTTCCTTCACTTTCAGAGTTTGCCTGACCTCCCAATTTTTTTTATGTCTATTCATTTATATTTATTTATTTTTGAGGCAGAGCTTTGTTATAGTCAGTCTGGTCTCAATTTCACTATCCTCGTACCAGGCCCTCCCAAAGCATCCTTAAGACTTTCTGAACTGAGGCAGAGAAAAGGTGAGGTCTGTCTTCATCTCAATTCAGTGAGCGCCCTGGTCAGAAACTCCCATCTTGACATCTAATTTACCTTGCTACATTTCTATTAGGGTGACTCAGGAGAAACCTTTTGGAGATCTTGGGTGGCATGTATTACTCTCCGCTCTCTGAACATCTTCTTCTTATCTTCTGGAGACATACCTACATCATCCCTCCCCCCCCACACACACACTCAACACCTCCTGGTGCTTGCCCACGTTCTGCCCCAAGTATCATGGACAGACTGAGCATATAACTGCTTTCCAGACTGCCTTCCACAGGTTTACCACAGCCTTTCTCTCTCCCTCCTCTGCCCGCCAAATCAGGGAACCCAGCAAAAGTTCACTCAGGAGAGGGGACTGGGCTTTCATTCCTTCTGTATCCACACTGATCCAGCACCACATATCTAAGACAGGTTCAAGTTTCTTCAGATGAATATATACCTCTATCCTGTGTTCCAGATCTGGGCTTTTGATATGGAATGAAAGACTATGGCAACTTCCAGGGAGCCTGTAATCTAGGCTTCCAATGTCACAGTTAAGGAACCAAGACGAAGGGGTCAATAGACATCTTCAAGGTCACTGAATTAAGGCTCTCCTCCCCAGCTTGATAATCCTCTCACGTGTTCATGTCGTGAATGTATTCATCATGCTATGGCTCTTTTTCAAGTATTGACTGATATGTTTTAAGTTTGAAAATAAGTGCATTTAGCTTGTATCACTAGCATAATTCTGCTATATCATTCCCATATGAGGAGAAGCATGTGGTCCTCTAAACTCCCCCCAAATGGGCTCAGCAGTGACCATTAATCGCCCTAAAACAGAAAACAAAAAACCACTATCTCAAATGATAGAGTGATGGATTCTGAGCCACTAACACAAAGATGCCACACAGAACTGCTAAGGCATACAAAATATCAGGGCTGGAGAGATCACTGGCTGCTCTTCCAGAGGACCTGGATTCCATTCCCAGTACCCGCAAGGCTGCTCACCACAACCTGTAACTCCACTTCCAGGGAATCTGATGCCCTCTTCTGGCCTCCACAGGCACCAGGCATGCGTGGTGCACAGACAGATTCAGGCAACACACATACACACATAAAATAAAAATAAAATTAAAAAAATAAAAATTAAATTAAAAATATGCCAAATATCGTACTGTGATTGACGAGTTCACCTCACAAAAGGAAGAGCAGAGGGGGACAGAGCGGCTGTCAGCAAGGAGGCACCACCAGGGCTTCCTCGCATTCTTTCGTATCATTTGAATGTGGTGGCCCTGGGACTGATGGACGCTGGCCTCCGGTGACGAAGCACCTGTGACTCTGTTCTAGATGGCCGTCCTCAAGTCGCCAGAGCCTCTTCCAGAAGCCTCAGCTCCTTTCCATTGAGGGCAGACACCACCTCGGGGTTCATTGCACTCCAAGCTGGCCATGGAATCACGCAGAACCACTCTCAGGGACTTTGTCTGTGTCCTTCCTTGCACGTACCCTTTCTGGTCTCCCCCAGGGGCACTTCCTTCCTAAGTCACCTGCACCCAGACCTACACTGGAAGCTATGGGTTATGGGTTAAACAGCCTACAAAAATTTATGTTAAATTGTGACCTCAGGCACTTGGAAGTGTGACCTTACTTAAATCTGGCCCTGGAATTTACCCACTGGCAGTTTCTGAAGAGACTGGCCAGTCTACCCTACAGAACTTTTTCTCGAGTTCCTCACATACCTGCAGCATTTGAATTCCTCCGTTCCCCTAAAACTTCACAAATCGGGTAAATTTTCACCTCTTGTATGACACTTCCTCTGACTTCATCATAAAGATCTGAATCCATTTAAGACTAAAAATGCTAACAGGTCTTCCCAGGCACGGATGCTAGCCCTGGGTATCTGGCTGTAACAGGTCCTCACAGACCTCAGGTGTTGTGCTCTGTTCCTTCCTGAAGTCTTGACACCTAAGAAAATCCATGAGACCAACCAGGATGAAGGCCAGGGAAAGATCCAGAAGACCACCTCCTTTCCTGGAGCATCACCAGAGCCACGCATGCCAACCCCAGCTCCCAGCAAAACATGACACAGATGTGACAGCTTTGAGTGTAACCATAGCGTGCCCCGGGTAGGGAGAAAGACAGATGCTGACCTCTCCTGCCATAAACCCCAGGAGAGTAAGGTAGCTATGGTCAAAGTGGTGACCCTCCAGAAAAGGTGATGAAAACTTGGGCTGAACAAGAGACACTAGGATTTTTTTTTTAAAGGGAATCCAAGAAATAAAATACAAAATAAAAATAAGAGATGAAAATTACTTTCTATATTAATTTCAGTTTGTTTCTGTAACAAACAGGTGGCCAAAAGTAACTTAGGGGGTAAATGGTTTATTTGATTTACAGTTCCAGGTCACAGTCTATCCATGAGGTAACTCAAGGCAGGAACCAGAAAGCGGGCCTGCTTGCCATTTCAGGCTGAGTCACCTCCGACCAGGGCACTCGCTCACAACCAAGGAAACCACAGAAACAAGCAGGAAGCACAGAAGAATGTTCTGGCTGCCCCGCTCACAGACCCATGCTCAGCTAGCTTCCTTACACAACCCATGACCATCTGCCTAGGGATGGTGCCGCCCCCATTGGGCTGGGACTCCCTGAATCAATCAATAATTATGACAAGCCCTCCCCGAAGACATGCACACAGACCTATCTAATGTAGGCAATTCCTCAGTGGAGGCTTTCTGCTCACATGACTCTAGGCTGTGTTGACAGTTAAAGCTACTAAGACACATCCTTGAGGAAACATTTTATTGCCAATGATAAAGAGGCTGGTAAATGACAATACATATTTGAATGCACATAACATACATATACACACACACCGAAATATACACATCGATAGAGAGAACAGGACCAAGAGTTTAAAAATGCATAAATAAATACAAGTTTTATACACTTAGTACAGCTTCCAAACTCACCGACCCAAATAACCTGAAAGTTCTTACACAGACTCCTGGCTTTATACGAGGATGGCCTGATTTGCCCCCTTCCGTTCTGTGATTTCTTACATCCAGAACATGGAGATTTATTGAAGTTCACACCAGGCAAAGTGTCATCTGGAATCCAGGTGCTCTGCCCCTACTCGAAGGCATTGAATGGCTGCACAGTGCTTCTGGAAGTCTGCGATTGCCTTCCGACCCAGTTCACAATGGACAGAAGAAGGTGTGTGTGTGTGTGTGTGTGTGTGTGTGTGTGTGCGTGCGTGCGCGTGTGTGTGCGTGTGTGTGTGTGCGTGTGTGTGCGTGTGTGCTCCTGTGTGTGAGGGGGTGCATGCATGGGCATAAAGAGAACAAGGATTGGTGCCATTGGTTGTTGGAGATCCAAACTCACTGAGCCATCTCCCTCGCTCTACTTTTTTATATCTCTTAAAAACAATACTGAAATTTGTAGAACAGTAAATAAAAATAATCAAGATTGGAACTTAATGATTACGTTTAAGAAGTTACTGGATTTTCTTTCCCTCTGATAATTTGAAAGTATGAAACTTTGGGGCTGGAGAGGTGGCTCAGTGGTTAGGAGTACTTGTTACTCTTGCAGAAAACCCTGTCAGGTGGCTCCAGTTGCAGGGGATCCAACATCTGCTTCTGGCATGCAGTACACAAGCATACAAGCAGGTTTACACACACACACACACACACACACACACACACACACACACAAGAAATGAAATAAATAAAACTTTAAAAAAGGAAAAGAAGCAAGAGACCCACTACCTCTCATGAATTTAAAAAAAAAAAAATTCCTAAGATGATGAAGACAATTTGGAAGCTATTTTCCCTTTGGAAAAAAAAAAAAAAAACTACCAGAAATCACATCATGTTAAAGCCGAAGGGCCTATTTTACATGAAATACCTACATATTTAGCATAATATCTATACTTACTTCCAAGTGTCAGTATGCACCATAAATGAACAAGTAAATGTGAGGTCTGGAGAGATGGCTCAGCAGGATGCTGATTACAGAAGCCTGACGACCTGAATTTGATTCCCAGAAGCCATGTAAAGGTAGAAGGCAAGAAATGACATGGCAAAGTTGTCATCTGATTTCTACATGCACACCATGACAGGCACACACCCAAACACACACATCATACACACAAACATAATAATAAGTAATAAAATGAAATATTCGAAAACAAAGAATACCTTTAAATGTAGTAGTTACCATTTTTAGTAGTAAGATTTATCGTACTGCTGTGTGCTTTGTGCTTTGTGTTTGTCTCCAGGCTTGGAAGCCTTTCAAGGGCTGGAGCCACATCTGGGTTCAGTGATATGCAATAAAACCTACAGAATAGCGCTCATAGTCCATTTGACTCAGCACTGTCAGGAGTGTCAGTTCTCTTACCAAAAAATTCTATACAAAACTGATTTAGTGCAGGCTAAATAAAAGTCCTGGTGTATTTTGTGTGATATTGACAACCCACTTCTCAAAGTCATATGGAAATGGAGAGTGCTAAGGATGTTCAAGATAATCTTGAGAAAGTTGTAGGGCTCATTATTGCCAGCTATGAAGACTTCCAGAGCTATGGAAATTAAGCCGGTGTCCTATAACAAGGAAAGAAGAGTGAGCCACTTGAACAGTGGAGGGCTCAGAAAAGTTTCGAAAAGTTGTGGGCAATGATAAA